TCTGGGTAGCTGGCTGTGACCAAGCAGTGACCACAACCTTGCCAAATGGGAACCTGTTTTGCTGTATACACTCTCTCCAAAGATACAGTAAAATGTATTTAAAAAAAAAAACCTAGTAGCAGTTCTACACTGTACACACAGGGTCAGAACTGGCTCCAGGGCAACAAACAAAAACATAAACCTATCAAGATACAAGTGAAGAAACTGAGGAATAGAGGTTAATTAATTTGCCTAAGGTCAGACAATTAGTATTAGAAACTGAACAGAATGGTTCCAGAGCTCATGTTCTGAACCACATCATTCTAAAGCTACTAAAATAGCTATAGTATTCTGGCTTCTAAAATATGCAAGCAAAGGTGGTTACAAAATCAGTAATAATGAAGAAAAATAAAATGCCTTCAATTTCCAAAAGTTTGTTATCTGAATGTTATACTTCACATGTCATTGAAAACATTAGGTTTAGTGTAAACCAAGGGTTGGCCTACCACCACCTGTTTTTATAAATAAAGTTTTGTTGGAACAGGGACATGCTCATTCATTTGCTTACTACCTGTACCTACTTTTGTACTATAACAATGGCAGAACTGAGGAGATGTAACAGAGACTAAATACTATATGGTCTTACAAGAAAACTGCTGATCCTCCGTTCTAAACTTGTGTCTATTCAAAACAAATACAAATATTTACACTTATTTCATAAAGTAAGATTTGGTATAAACACTAATTTATGAAAACAAGCAGTCACTGTATCAACAGCTCCACCACCCCATCAGTTTGTCATATTGTGGCAGCTTGCATGTTGCTATGAGGCTGGAGGCTATGCCACTTGTGTTTCAAATACCAGCATGGTCACCCACTGGGGACAGGTTTCAGCAGAACTTCCAGACTAAGATAGACTTGGAAGAAGGAAGGGGAGGCCATGTGCTTCTCAAAGAATTGGGTGAAAACCTTATGAATAGCAGTGAAACATGGTCTGATACATTACTAGAAAACTTTACGAATAGCCCTTAACCACTGTCTGATACAGTGCCAGGAGATGAGCCCCTTAGATCAGAAGGCACTCAAAATATGACTGGAAAAGAGCTGCCTTCTCAAGGTAGAGTCAACCTTAATGGCGTGCACAGAGTAAAGGTCTCTGGGCCTCCATCTGCTGATGTAGCATGGCTCAAAATGGGAAGAAACAACTGCAAACATTCATTAATTATTGGAACATGGAAGTACGAGGTATGAACCTAGAAAATTAGAAGTTGTCAAAAATGCAATGGAACACATAAAGATTGACATCCTAGGCATTAGTGAGCAGAAATGGACTGGTTTTGGCCATTTTGAATCAGACAACCATATGATCTACTATGTTAGCAATGATAAATTGAAGGGGAATGACATGGCATTCATCGTCACAAACAATGTTTCAAGATTTATCCTGAAGTACAATGCTGTCAGTGATAGGATAATATCCATATGTCTATAAAGAAGACCAGTTAACACTACTATTACTCAAATTTACACACCAACCACCAAAGCCGAAGATGAGAAAATTGAAGATTTTTTACCAACTTCTGCACTTTGAAATTGACCAAACATGCAACCAAGATGTGTTGATCATTACTGGTGACTGGAATGCAAAAGTTGGAAACAAAGAAGAAGCACCAGTTGTTGGAAAATGGGGCTTTGGTGACAGAAATGATGCCAAAAATCACATGATAGAATTTCACAAGACCAACAACTTATTCACTGGAAATACCTTTTTTCAACAACATAAATAGTGGCTGTTCTGGTTACCTAGTGCCACTCTGATAGGAATATACCACAAATGGGATGGCCTTAACAAACAAGAGTTTATTCTCTTACAGTTTGGAGGCTTTAAGTCCAGGTTCAAAGTGCCTGGCTCTAGGGGCTGGGTGAAAGCCCCTCAACCCTGGGGTTCAGTTCCACCTCCTGCTCCTGGTCCACTGGAGCTAGAGGCTTTTCTTCATTCAGAGAGCTGTTGGCTGCTGAGGCTGAGAAGCCCCAAGGTTGACAAGTCAAAAGGCACAGTCCCGATGTTACCAAACCACATGGCAGGCCATTAACTTAAGTCCACTGTAAGTCCCAAGGTCAGCAGAACATAGCAGGCTGCTGGGCAACGACACGACTACATACAGGGTCCAAATGTGCCATAGGCTAGAGACCATTCCCAAGGCTTCTCCTTATATACAGGAACCAAACCACATCCCAAAGGCAGCTACTCAGCTGCTTGTGGTGGATCTCACCATGGAGTTGATTGCCAGTCTCACCATGGGGAATAATTACCACGAGCTGCCCAGCCACTCATCCAGGCCCAGCCAAGATGACACAAAAACATAACCACCACAGTGGCTAAAGATGTAGACTTTGCCAGATGGAATACACAGGAATCAGATCGACTACATCTGTGGAAAGAGGTGACAGAGAAGCTTAATATCTTGGGCCAAAACAAGGCCAGCAGCTGAGTAAGGAACAGACCATCAACTGCTCCTATGCAAGTGCAAGCTGAAGCTGAAGACAATTTAAACAACTCCATGAGAGCCAAAATATGACCTTCATTATATCCCACCTGAATTTAGAGACCATCTAAAGAACAGATTTGATGCACTGAATATCAATGATCAAATACCAGAGGAACTGTATGATGACTTCAAGAACATCATACATAAAGAAAGCAAGAAGTCATTAAAAAGACAGGAAAGGAAGAACAGACCAAAATGGGTGTCAGAAGAGACTCTGAAACTTGCTCTTGAAAGGAGAGTAACTAAAGCAAATGGAAGAAACAACAGGATAAAAGAGCTGAACAGAAGATTTCAAAGAGCAGCTTGAGCAGACAAAGCCAATTACTATAATGAAATGTGTAAAGACCTGGAGTCAGAAAACCAAAAGAGAAGAACAAGCTCAGTATTTCTTAAGCTGAAAGAACCGAAGAAAAAATTCAAGTCTGAGTTGAAACACTGAAAGATCCTATGGGCAAAACATTGACTGATGCAGGAAACATCAAAAGGAGGTGGAAGGAATACAGAGTCAGTATACCAAAAAGAATTGGTAGATGTTCATCCATTTCAAGAGGTGGCATATAATCGACAACCAACGGTATTGAGGAAAGAAGTCAAAGCTGCACTGAAGAACTGGCAAAACAACACATCTCCAGGAGCTGATGGGAATACTCATTGAGATGTTTCAACAAACGGATGCTGCACTGGACACACTTACTCGTCTGTGCCCAGATAGTTGGAAGATAGCTACCTGGCCAACTGACTGGAAGAGATCTACATTTGTACCCATTCCAAAGAAAGAGGATCCCACAAAATGTGGAAATTATCCAACAATATCATTAATATCACACCCAAGTTAAATCTTTCTGAAAATAATTCAAAAATGGTTGCAGCAGTATACAGACAGAGAACTTCCAGAAATGCAAGCTGGATTCAGAAAAGGACGTGAAACGAAGAGTTATCATCGCTGATGTCATAGGGATCTTGGCTCGAAGGAAAAACACCAGAAAGATGTTTACTTGTGTTTTACTGACTATGCAAAACCATTTGATTGTGTGGATCACAACAAATGATAGATAACATTGAGAAGAATGGGAATTCCAGAACACTTAATTGTGCTGCTCATGAGGAACCTATACATAGACCAGGAGGCTATTGTTCGAACAGGACAAGTGGATACTGCATGGTTTAAAATCAGGAAGGGAGTGCATCAGAGTTGTATTCTTTCACCACACTTATTCAATCTGTATGCTGAGCAAATACTCCAAGAAGGTGGACTATATGAAAAAGAACGTGGTATCAGGATTGGACGAAGATTCATTAACAACCTGCGATATGCAGATGACACAACCTTGCTTGCTGAAAGTGAAAATGACTGGAAGCACTTAATGATGAAGACTGAAGACTACATACAGTCTGCAGCATGGATTACACCTCAACATAAAACAAAAATCCTTACAACTGGACCAACGAACAGCATCATGATAAATGGAGAAAAGACTGAAGTCAAAAGTTATCATATTACTTGCAACCACAATCAACACCAATGAAAGCAGCAGCCAAGAAATCAGACGTCATACTGCACTGGGCAAATCGGCTACAAAAGACCTCTTTAAAGTGCTGAAGAGCAAAGATGTCTCTCTGAAGACTAAAGTGTGCCTAACTCAAGTCATAGTGTTTTCAATCACCTCATATGCATGTGAAAGCTGGACAATGAATAAGGAAGACTGTAGAAGAGTTGATGCTTTTGAGTTGTGGTGCTGGTGAAGAATACCGAAAGTACCATGGACTGTCAGAAGAACTAATAAATGTGTTCTAGAAGTGTAGCAGGAATGCTCCTTGGAAGTGAGAATGGCCAGACTTCGTCTCACCACTTTGGTCACATTGTCAGAAGGGACTATTCCCTGGAGAAGGATATCATGCTCAGTAAAATGGAGGGTCAGGAAAAAGGAGAAGGCCCTCAACCAGATGGATTGACACAGTGGCTACTAACAATAGGCTCAGATATAGCAAGGACTGTGAGGCTGGCACAGGACTGGGCAGTATTTCGTTCTGTTGGACACAGGTTTGATATGAGTTGGAGCCTACTGGACAACATTCAACAACAACATGAATAGCTAGATGTCAGTAAGGAAGGATGTTTCTCTGACTTACATACCAAAAGGTAAAAAATTGTAATTCTGATCTAGTGACTAGCTAGAAGAGAACAGCAAATAGACAAAGTTCTCACCTCAATTAACTTTTCTCATCTCAATTAACTTTAACCATGCGATGGATTTTATATTCTCTTAGATCTCTGCCGCTCTATTCCTGAACCCCAACCTATGCCCAATGCCCTGAGCATTAACTGACCATCTTTTAGTAGAATTTAGTTCTCTCATTAACTACTATTAGAACTTCCTTTCTTTATCCTCGAATTCTAAGTACAAAAACACTTGTGATGAAGTAAAATTTATTTACTACATGTTTCAAGGAACTGTATTAGTTACATTATCATTAGTTTGGGTTAAATCTTCTAATTTAATTTAATCTCAAGACATTAAAATATATCCCTTATCAAACACACATTAAAAAAAAAAAAATCAGGGAGGGGGACCAGGTTTGCTGGTCCAATAGAGCCTGGTGGAACCACTGAGACTATGGCCCCTAGCTGCCCTTCAGGTCTGGAATTGAACCCACACCTGTGGTTTCCAGCCAAACAAAATACAGGCATATGAGTTGAACCTTTTACCTTAGGTAGATACACTCCTTGGAGAGAACAATCATGGGAGAAAGAAGGGCTGCTTATGCACAGGGAGACAGCTCAGGGGGCAGGAGTGTATGGAGGGATGGACACTGGGAAGAGGTAACTATGGGAAGGAAGTGGGAGGGAGGGGAGCTGTTGCATTGTGGTAAACAAACTGTGGTCAATGTCATGAGACAAAGTGTATGTGAACTGCTGTATGGAAAGTAAATTTGCTCTGTAAATCTTCACCCAAACCACAATTTAAAAAAAGAAAAAGAAGCCAATGTTTAATCAAAGAAAAAATGCAAAGAAGACATTGTAGTACCTTTGGTACTGCAGCCTGGAAAACAAAGTCCGTCATGTCTAGCTCTGTGCTGTTTGAGGCCTGTATCGTTATCACTGTGACACTGGGGTTGGTGTTTGACCGTTCAAAGGTGAATTCTATCTTCAAGCCATTCTTACTGTATGCGGTGATGGAGGGGATGCCTGGGGAAGTACAAGAAGATCAGTCTAACTGTACTGCACCTAATGCTTGCACAATTACTACATCTTTTCTTCAATAGCCATCTCCATTGCTCAGCGATATATGTAGTGAAGGTAACAATGGTAATCCTACCTGAAGCGATGTCATTGAAGAGAGGCTGTGATGAAAGCCCATCCAATAAGAAGGGGGGCTGCGATATCTGTGGGACTGAGGCAGGGGCAGGAGCAGCAGCTGGAGCACCTATAGGAAACATTCCCACGGAAGGTCAACCTTAGCCAGCGTAACAAAATTCACCAAGAAAATATAGGAGAAAATTATTAAGATCTTAGAGTAAGGAAGGATTCCTTAAACAAGATATAAAAAGCAGATCATCAGGGAAAAGAACTAAAAATTCAAATGCTTTAAACATTAAGGCCTTCTGTTCATTAAAAATAAAATATTAAAGAATAAAAAAGAGACCCCACAAGAACAACAAATATCTGTTACACAGCAGAGAACAGATGAGTGGCCAGAACTATAAATATCTTTGATAACCCAATTAATAAGGAGACAACTGATGAATAAGTAATCACTGAAACAGGAACCTAAATGATAAAAGAACCTTATAGAAAGATGTTCCATATTACCAGTAATGAAAGAAATAGAATCCAAAATCACAAGATACCACTTCACATCCACCAGAATTGCAAAAATCCCAAGATCTGATAATATCAGATATTGTTAAGAATATGGAGCAATGGAAACCTTTAAGCTCTGCACAGTGATACTGCCTCGGAAACCCAAGGAGGGGTCGCTATGAGTCGGGTCCAACTAGATGGCAAACAACAACAACAACAACAACAACATTGGAATGTAAACTGGATCAAACTGGAGAAAAATTTGGCAGTAGGAGACTGAATATGAGTAGACCCTTAAACCAGGTTCCTCAACCTCAACACTAATGACATTTCAGTTTGGAAATTTCTTTGTTGGGGGCGGTGTTGTCCTGTGAATTGTAGGATATTTAACTGGCTTCTACGCTTTAGCTGTCAGGAGTACCCTCCTAGTTATGACAACCAGAAATGTCTCCAGACATTGCCAAATATCCCCTGAGGGGCAAAATCTCCCCCCAAAAAAGGACCAATGCCTTTCTTCAGAATACTTCTTTTTAATTCTTACATATGTACATAGGGAGACATGTACAAAAAAATGTTCACAGTAAGATGGTGTAACTTTGAAGTAGCCTACCAGCAAGACAATGGATAAGTAATTTATGGTAAATTCCCACAATAAATTACTATACATATGTTGTTGTTGTTGTTGTTATGCACCGTCGAGTCAAACCCGACTCATAGCGACCCCTCCTTGGGTTTTCGAGGCAGTATCACTACGGAAGTAGGATTGCCCAACCTTCCTTCCGAGGAGTGGCTGGTGGATTTGAACCGCCAGCCATCTGGTTAGCAGGCAAGTGTCTTAGCCACTATGCTACCAGAGCTCCACTATACATATACAACATTAAAAATGTAAATATACATTTATATTTGAAAATGTCAATGTACTAGAAATACATTCAACATGAATTATTCATGGATTACTCTCACAAATACAATCTTTTAGAATCTAAAAAAAAAAAAAACAAGGTACAAAACAACATGTTCAGTTGGATACCACTTATATAAAGATAAAAAATGGCAAAACAATACTGTACACTGTTTCAGAACAAAACATACAAATACAGTAAATGTACCTAGAAATGCATGGGAATGGAAAAAAACCCAATGGTTCTTTAGGACAGACAGTAGTCACCTGAGGTCAAGAGGGAAGGGAATAAGAGAGGAAGTATACAGGGAACATCAATTTTCTTGTTAATATTTTATTTTACAAGCTAGGTAGATCAAGGCAGGTATCCTTTAGTACCTTTAGTACCATCTAGTAGATGTTAAATATTACATAACAAAACTATAAAATACAGAACCCTCAAGAGGAGATAAAGAGTGGGACTAGGGGAAGAAACATCCAGATTACCATTGTATTTGATCCTCTAAGTAACAACTTGAGGATTAAACAATAGAAGATGAGTTATAGAACATGACCATAAACTGAGGAAAACCAGGATCCTAAGAGGGATAAGAAAATTCAGTAAAATAAAGAGAACACATTTCAAGTTCAGATTTCAAACCACTTAAATTAACTGAAAATATTTCATTTACAAAAACTTTACAATGAAATAAAGGAAGACTAAAATATCTCTCAAACAGAAAAATCATTGAAGGCCACTCGGGGAAAAAAAGACATTTTATAAATCAGAATAGAAGGAAGAAATAAGTTGGCTAAGCAAAGCACAACAAGCTAAAACAAGGAGCTCATTTACTTCATGACAAATGGGTAAAGGAAACAAAAGGAGCATGCAAAAGCAGACTCGTGTATAACGCAAATATGTGGATTCATATTACACATTCCATATAATCAAATAAATAAAAATTAACAAAATAATAGGACCAATTTTGTACCAATTAGGAAAAGCCTTTTTCAGAATGATAAATGTATCATTTGCAGTGAAACCAATGTTTATCTACACTGGGAAAAAGGTAAATAACATTTGCCAAGTACTCACTATAAATGATGTATATAAAATGAGTCACCATTCAAAACTACCCTATGAGGCAAATACTTATGATCCTCATTTTAAACAGACTCAGAAAGGTTAAGTAATTTACTCTAAGAAAATAATCCAACATATGGACAAACTGATGTGATGACAGTATCTGCTGAGGCATTACTTATGCTAAGAAAAATGTAAAACTAACAAAATGCCCAACAGTAAGAAATTGAGGATATAATGGTACACAAACTTTTTGGTGAAATAGACAGCCATTTAAAATTATAATTATGAAGAATATATACCAACATGTGAAATGATAATACAGTAAGTGAAGCATGCCATCCACAGACTGTTTTAACTACAGGGGTGTTTCTGATTCTCTTTATACTGAGTACACCTTCAGCATCCGAGGGTTTGAAATTGATAACTTGTGAGTGATTCAAAAGTACGTGACAAGTTCACATTTCCAAATTCTGTTAAGCTAAAGATAAAAATCATAAGCTCTAACTGCTGTACTAGGAAAAAATACTTTAACCATTGATAGAGTCTAGCTGACCATACAGCATCATTATCACACGGCTATTTTTCACTTGAGGTCATGCATATTGTAATTCTCCATTTACTTTTTTAGTTCTATTTTACACTGCCATTAATTAACAGTAGAAATTAAATGCTATAGTGATTAATACTCCTGGACTCAGGGATTTATATTTCTGAACTCATCAATTACAAATGCCTACTGTATGAATAAAGATGAAAAAATTCCAAAATGAAAATAATTATTCAATATTACAATTATGGCTGAGTTCCTCCTTGCATTGCTTTAATAATTGAAAGAAAGAGAGGAAGAGAAGGAGGAAGGGAAAGAAAGGAGGGAGGCAAGGGAAAGGAGGCAGGAAGAAAGGAGGATAGGAAAGAGAGGGAGAGGAAAAGGAAAGCACAGTAAAGGACAGTGGAAGACGGCAGGTTACACCTTTCCATCCCACAAATGGCCAGAGCTATGGAAGACTGACCACAAACAAAAAGAAACAAGAAAAAATAGCTTTTGGGGGCACTTAACTAAAAGGAGATATAACTTGGGCTATATTCTTTTTGACCCTGAGAAAGTTTTTTCTATCCCTAAATACAACGATTAATTTATTCTTCCAAAATTAAAAATCAGCCCATAAAAAATCTCTACGGCTTAATGTTAAGGAATTACCAACACAGTTTATACTCCAGATGTTCTGAAGATTTTATTTTTGCTTCTCAGTTAGCCTCTCCCATTTTCAATTGATTTATGTACTATGTCCCAGTGCAGTGATTCCCTGAGGCATTTTCCCCCTATCCAAACACTAAATAGCTCTAGCCTGGCCTTACCTGTAAGGTTGATGTCTCCAAGCAAATCAAGAAGTTCTCCACCAGCAGAACCAGGTTTGCTTGTAGGTGCAGTTGGAATAACAGGTGTTATGTCATTTCCTCCCAACAAATCCAATAAATCATTGGCCTAAACAATAAAACAACAGCTCAATTCATCAGTTATTTGTATAAGGCACATCTTATGAAAAGCTTTTTTAATACTTAAAAATAAGGAAGGGAACCATCAACGAATCCAGGAACATTAAAGGTGATTAGGTAAAAGACAGGAACATCAGGCTCTCCGTATAAACAACTGAAAAGCTACCTGGCTGCTGGGCTGTGGCACAGAGGGTGGTGGTTTGGTCTCTAGTGGAGCTGGTTCTGTCTCTCCATTTGTCTGTACAATCTCAGTAGGGCCATTTGTGGTCACTTTTTCCATGACTGGCATTCTCTCAAGCAGTGCAGACCTGGAAGAACCTGAAGTGGTTAAACTCTATGCAGTTAACCTACATTCCCTACCCAAAACAATCACTGTAACTATGTTGAACCCAAACATGGAGAGTTATTTCCCCTCCTTATCACTCCAACATATCCAATAAAAGAGAAGCTAGATGATATGAATAAACGACCTAAATTCCTGGCAGGATTAAGGGTAGACAAGAAACCGTGAATGGAGAAACCATCTGCCTAAATCCCAAAGCATGTATTTCAATGATAGAGAGACTGCAATAAAAGAAAGGTGAATCAATAGGCAATGGCAGTCTCCAATCAACAAGATGCCACATTTAACTTCATCGGTAAAGAATGTCTGCCTCAAGCAGTCCGCTCTTTTAAAGAGCTATCTATACAGGACCAAACTAACAGTAACTCGGGAGATTAGAAAGGAAGTTAAGGGGGTTGTTGTTGTTATGTGCCGTGGAGTTGGCCCGACTCATAGCGACCCCTCCTTGGGTTTACGAGGCAAGTATCACTACGGAAGTAGGATTGCCCAACCTTCCTTCCGAGGAGTGGCTGGTGGGTTTGAACCGCCAGCCTTCTGGTTAGCAGTCAAGTGCTTTACGCACTATGCTACCAGAGCTCCTAAGGGGGTAGTAAGCTTATGTTAACAGGGGAGGAAGAATTTGGGAAAGGAGGGTGAGAATGGTTGTACTACCTGAAGAATGTAATCAATGTCAATGAATTGTACATGTAGACATTATTGAATTGGTGTGTGTTCTGCTGTGTATATTTTCAACATCATCATAAAACGAGTAAATAAATTATTAAATAAAGAGAAGATATTGCACAACACAGAAAAAAAATCAAATGCACTAATATCTTAACAGTGATAAATTTGAATGACGTTACTTTGCTTTAAAAAATAAAACTCCTAGCGTAGTGCCTAAGGCACTTGACTGCTGACCAGAAGGCTGGTGGTTCAAACCCACCAGCCACACCTTGGAAGGAAGATGGGAAATTCTACTTCCGTAGTGATACTGCCTCCAAAACCCAAGGAGGGGTCACTATGAGTCGGGTCCGACTAGACAGCCCATAACAACAACAACACTTCTTAATCAAACATTTTAAAAATGGAAAATGGGAAAAACGTTCCACACCAAAACAAAAGGGGAAGGGTAGATGAGAGAACAGTTAACAGATTTCTTTAGAAACGAAGAAGAGTGGAAGGTAGACAAATCAGAAGCAGCCAAGCAAATAGAACTAAAGAGGATTTTAAGAACTAGTTACCTAAGCACATGTAATGAGTCTCCTTGTGAATTATCATGATAATCTGTGCAGGATGCTAGAGGGCACATACATTGCTTAGTTTCTTTCACATACCTCATATGGTCATATTTCTTGAAAAGAGCATTATATTCTACTGCCCTCTGCTGGAGTTCCACATCAATGCTGCTTCCATAGATAGAAACCACTTTCTTTATTCGGCTTTGGGAATAAATGACAAATGAAATAAAACAGAAAATTCATTGAAACAGAATGAATATTAAAATCAGAGTTCTGTGATTCAATTTTGAAATTCTTTTCTTGTTAATTTATATAATTTTTTCAAAAACAAAACCCCTTTTCTTTATTAACCCATTCATCCAACACTATTCACCAATATCATTCACCATTATACTATTCTAAGGAGTTCTGGTGACACAGTGCCTAAGCCATTTGACTGCTAACCAGAAGGTTGGTGGTTCAAACGCACCAGCCACTCCATGGAAGGAAGACTGGGCAATCTACTTCTGTAAAGATTCACCACCTCAGAAACCCAAAGGGGGTCACTATGAGTCAGAATCAACTCGATGGCTATGAGTTTGGTTTTTGGTTTATTATACTATTCTAATATAATACTGTATTTTTCTGTTAAATATTCCACACTCTAAAATTTACTAGGCAAAATACCAATTACTTGTCATCGAAGAACTGTGTACTGCTCATCTCTTAATAATTTAAAACTAAGCCTTAAAAAAAAGAAGGGTCACAGCATCAGAATGTTGACCCCAAAGTTCTCAATTCTTTATTTTTAATTGTGATTTCGGCGAAAATTTAAAGAGCAAATTCACTTTCTATACAACCATTCACATATACTTTGTCTCATGACACTGACTACAATTTACCCCAATGCAGCAGCTCCCCTCCCACTTCCTTCCCATAGTTACCTCTTCCCTGTGTCCATTCCTCCATGTACTCTTGCCCCCTGAACTGTCTCTCTGTGCATAAACAGCCCTTCATTCTCCCATGATTGATCTCTCCAAGGAATGTATCTACCTCAGGTAAATGTTCAACTCATACACCTGCCTTCTGTTTGGCTGGAAGCCACAGGTGTGGGTTCAATTCCAGACCTGAAGCGCAGCTAGGGACCACAGTCTCAGGGGTTCCACCAGGTTCTATCAGACCAGAAAACCTGGTGTGTTCCCCTCCTTTTTTTTCCCCAAATGATTTTGAGTTTTGTTCCACACAGTTCTCCCTCTAACATTCTCAATTAAAAGAGCAAGTCAAAACACCATTTTCACAGTACTTCACAAAAGTGAAGCAGAAAATCTAACAAATAAGTTTGCCTTAAATATGCTTGGCTGGCAAACTGATCCAAGAACTGACTTTACTTAACACAGTGAAGAGCAGAACTGGATTTTCTTCCTATTAAGACATTTCAAAATATGCTATCAGAAGTCTTACATAGGGAAATACCTTCTCTGCAGGGAAATAAATGCAAATTCATTTCACTATTCTACTTTTTTCTATCCTTGAAATTGTTTTTTAAAATTATAAAACAACCAGCGTCCCCTACTTTCCCTCAATACTCACTTTACAGTACAGGTGAATCGAGTAGAAAGCTTCATAATGGCAGTGAGGGCATAACCCCGTGTCACAGAGGTGGACATATTAGAGATTAGAACACTCTCTAAAATATCCAAAACTTCATCCTCTGTTACCTGGGGAGGACGAAAAGAAATCACGTAGACTGGATGGCAACAGAAAGCATGTAAATCTAATACCAATTCACAGGATGCCAGCAGAAGAACAATCTTTCCACTACAAAACCTTCTCACACAACTCTCCTTTGCCAGGGTAACTGTCTGAGCTGCAAAGCAGCTAGGAGCAGATAGGAGGGAGGTAAAAAGAGTGGAAAATGCCATTTAGGGTCTGAGAGACATATTACAGCTTCAAGTCATGCCACAATTCCCCTAATGAGAAAATGGGAGCCTATATACATATCTTCGTAAGGAAGATGGGGCAATCTACTTCTGTAGTGATACTGCCTTGGAAACCCAAGGAGGGGTTGCTATGAGTCGCGTCTGACTCACGGCACATAACAACAACAACATATATATGTCTCATTTCTTCTTGTTCATCAGCCAGAGAGTAAGAGAAACAATGTAATTCAGTTCAAGGTGTGTGTGGGGTGATAGAGAAGCTCCTAAGGTAGGTTTATGGATTTTATTTTTAATTGTGACTTGGGTGAAAGTATACAGAGCAAACTGGTTTTCCATTCAATGATTCGTACACATTTTGTTTTGTGACATTCACTGCACTTCTCACAACGTAACAGCATAACAGCACTCTTCCCACTTCTTCCCTGCGTTTACTGTCTCCCTCCTCTGTCCTCCTTTCCTATTCCTCCCTGCCTTCTGAGCTTTATTCCTGATAAAGCTTGTGATCCCGTACAGCTGTTGTTGTAAAGAGTTAATACCACCTTGGTGGTACTGTTCACGTCATAAGCCTGTGTATCACTTGGCTCAAAGCTGAGCCACGGGGGTGAGTTCAGCTCCAAGCTTAAAGGGTATCTAAGGGCCATAATCTCAGGGATTCCACCAGTCTCTATCAGACCAGAAGCACAGTCTTTTTATTATGTGCAGTTTTGTTCCACATTTTTCTACCATTCTATCTGACACCTCCTAGTGTGATTCCTTTCAGAGCAGTCAGCAGGAGTAACTGGGTACTATCTAGTTCTCCTGGCCTCAGAGTCATGGAGGCTGGGGTTCATGTGCTCCATTAGTTCTCTGGACTAATTGTTTCCTTCCATCTTTGATTTTCTTCACTCTTGTTTGCTCCAGACGGACAGGGAGAGACTAATATTTGCACCTTAGGGGGCCAATGATGAGCTTAACACCCTAGTCGCTACTCACCCAAACAGGATATAGAACATTGTCTTTGTGGACTATGTTATGCCAAGGGACCTTAGTTAAGGTAGTTTTAAAATCTCACAATGGCCCACAAAGTTCCATCTCAAAAAGCAGATTTCCCATATTAATTCTGGTATTACCTCTTTGAAAAAGTCTTCTAAGAATCAACCACAACTTCCCATGAAGCACTACTCTCCTATAACAAAACCACTATTTGTTCCCCTCCTCAACCAAGTGTGACAATGGGTACCTGAATAGGCTCTTCCTCTTCACACTGGCCAGATACAAGAAGATCTCCATATTCACCTATACACCATGCAGCCACTTGTACCAAAGGTTGCTGTCAAAAGAAAATTACCATTTGTCAAGAATTGCAGTTTTTTCAGAAATACTTAATCCAAGTCACGGGTCATTTAATCAGAAAGGTCAAAAACTAGGCACATCTCCAATGTTAGAATAGAACACACCAGGAAAATACAGGGTAATTTTCCCACTAAAGTAAAAAGAAAAGCCAATGACCTACTTGAGAATAATCACCAAGAATTGCTTTGTATAAGCGCTGGACAGTATAGGCATGTATCTCCACACTGTTGGTTATCAACTGGATCAGATTGGGGACTGCATCGTCACGAACATAACTTCCTGCCTAAAAGAAAATGCAGATAGTTTAACCCTAGAAACAGAGCAATGGTAACAAATGTTAGCAGTTATGCTGCTGAGGAGATTATTACAAAACACCCGCAAGAGATAAAGCTGGTTCCAACTGTCAGATTCATAAGTAGCTCAAACATCAAGGTCGTATTTAGTCAAATGAGCATTTAAAATTTTTAATTTTATAAAAAATAAAATCTTCTCTTTGTCAGAAGTAAAATTAAACTATAAAGGTTTAAAATCGCAAGAAACATCTTTTACACTCCAAACACATAATGCTTTTCTAAAACTTCAAATATTTAAGAAGTACATTCACTGGGAACTGAATTATAGTAAAACATAGTGTATCAAACAACTTCTCTCCTTCTACAATACCCCAACAGGGGTGATAAAATCATAGCTATATTTTAACTATAGCTATAGGCATGTTACTCTGGGAAATGGAGGCAAGAAGAGTGCACGTGCATAGTTTAAAGAGTATATTAATTGAAACCAATGCAAATAACTACTTAACTTTTTAAAAACTTGAGTTTATTAAAAAGATCACACTATTCTTTAAAAACTACTGTTTATGAATGTTCTAGAACCAACTGTTAGTCTTAGGAATGGAAGATATTTGTATTTAACTATCTTTTTTGTTATTAAAAAAACTCATTTATGGTACAAAACTCAAAATCATTTGGAGG